AATCGCATGACTAAACAAGTTACTTAATTACTTCTACTTTGTTATATGTTTTGAGGACATATATACAATATAATTGGTATTAATGATATCTCGGACGGTATTAAGCTACGCACGCGGTATCACGGCTTGCTAACATTATTCATATAAATTAGATTGGATTGCTTTTTATCCGTTCTGGAAATTATACTAAGAATTAAATATTTTATACATGTCTGTATATACTCAAATTATACTTTTTTACTTTTGCTGTTTATAATAATATCATCTTGGTCGTGTCTTGACCTCCCTGATTCATCGTAACCAAGACCAAACCCCTGAGCCTAACTGGCTATTATTGTAATTTTAGCCTATTTGTAAGATCATAGGAAGGCATTAAAAATGTTTTTTTTTAAATCCAACCCTACAAACAACCCTAAAAGAATGTAAAGGGGTATCAAACGGGTGTCAAATTAAAAAATATGATCGGCAAAACCAGCCAGAGTGAGCTATCGGTGTGCAATAAATATAATAGCGTAGTTTTTTTTTAATGATACCTCTAAAATATTTGGATACCGAAAAATATTTAACAAAAGATTGCTATGAAAGTAAAAATAAGTTGAGTTACTACGTGGTTTGTATGAGCCAGTATATTTTTTTTGTTTCTAAGCTTACTTAATCAATTCCAATATATTTTGCAAGTTTAAAATAAAGAAATATTGCTCTTTTTAGTAAAATTACTTTTAACATATATCAAACGACAGAGTTATGAAGGTAAATAAAATAGGTCACGGTAAGTGGTTGACAGGACGGGCAGAAGATGGGTTCTGCAGATTGTTGAGACTTCATAATGTACACGAAAGGTTATAAAGCTGTTTCGAAAATTAATTTTATAAAGACGAGTGTTTTATCAATTTATTTGAGTTGTTTGGGTCCTAATAAACTTTAAAAATAGTAAAAGAGAAAATGATATTGAAAAAAAGACATCATTCGTTTTAAGTAAATCGATAATTCAAAGTTTGACATAGATTACCGTAATAAAGTTTTAAATGTCAATCAAAATAGCCCTTTTATTGCTTTAGTAATCGAAAAAGTTATCGAATCTCATAAAACGTTAAAGCCTTCAAACTCTGTAAATATTTACATCTAAAATATTCTTCTAGACAGTTTGGAAAACCTCGCTGTGAAATTTTTGTTTAGAGTTAAGTTACAGCACAATCAAGTTACCCATATTTTATTTATTCATAGAGCTCTTAATTTATTAACTTCAAAATATCAAAGTTGTCAACTTGTCCATCTTTCTCGGAAATTTCATAGTCAGCTTCTATTTCCACGCGAACGATGATTTGCTTGAAGTAGTTGCTGTCACAGGATAAAAGATTTTATATTCTCCGCCGTCGTACGTCTCTGCCAACCGGAACTACTTGCTGTTCATTCTAGTTACTGTTAATTTTCAACATTTACGACTATTCGAAAGTATTTTATTTTCTTACTTTTACCTTTGATATTTGCATCGGTAATTTTAAATTTTTTGTGCTCTTTACAAAAGCAATGTGATGAATGAACATGTCTAAAATTTAACTGCCTTGAACTATATCAATTCGAAATTACCTAATTCAGAATAATATTTACATTTGCCACCTACTTAAATAGTGACAGTTATGAATGATTATTATTATGCCTAAAATGTTTTGCTCCCACTATTTTATTTAAGTATTACGTTTTTTATATATGTATATTTCTTATTACTTTCTTGTGTTTTTTTGTAAATAATGAACGAATTTCATTTTAACCAGACTACTTTATTTTAATTTTACTATGAATGTCCTGCGCCAGATCAATGTATTGATATTTTATTGAGATTGTTATTTTTTTACTGTTTATTGTAGTAATGTAGGTACTTATAGACAATATAAAATAAACAAAAATAGCATTACAAAACTTATTAGGTGCAATATACATACAAAAATATCATCATTCTGCCGTCCCCATTACTAATGTCAGTGATATAGTAAATAGTGGTTTTTTTTTTGATTTATCAATCATACTTGAATGGCTGACCCGATTTCCATCTCCTTTACAGATACATTAATCCTCCTATCCACGAGCTGGGCATATTTCACGACTCATTTGATAAATTCATATTGAGAAATATCTAAAACTTCACCGAGCTAAGGTAAAATAAGAATATAATTCGCTTTTTACGTAGAAGTTGTGTTTGAAAACTTAATCAAAGTTTTTTTAAGTTATATTGCTAATAATGTCAATTTATTTTTTCTTTCCGCGGGTTGAAATTATCTTGCATTTTAATATCAATTGAAAGCATAACATTTTTTTAAATTATATACTAAAACTATTAATATAATAAAGATACTTACCTCGGCCAAGGACGCCCCAGTTTTATAAGATTTATTTTACAGCGACGTAACTTTGAAAATTGGATATGATATCTATTTAAGTAATAGTCAACAGGTAACACAGATACGAGTATTCAACAATAGTTTAAATATATTTAAAAGTACAACAAACGCGGGTAAAGGGCTCGCGTATCATACGATAAAAAGTCGTCCGTAACAATAACAACACTGAGAGGAAGACCAAATGAAGTGTATTCAGAAGTTGAGGACCGAACAATACATTACGGAAGCGAAAAGTAGACATCACAGGTCGTTGGAATTAGAGAGATCTAGATAAAACATAAAATAACAAGAAGTTTGTAAGAAAAGACGTTGAATTATCGCGCGCGTCGTTGAGCGAGTTCGAATTTGGTGTGAAAAATCTAGAGATTCAACAAGTGGTATTGCTAGGGCGGGCGGCGTGGTCCGACAGAGGACCTCGCGGCGGCAACGTTCGCCCGCGTGTGCTGAGCTCGCGCCCGTACACCGCCCAACCTTGCCTGTGTGCTCTACCCTTCGTTACACTCGCATCTGTGTGAACTCTATCCCCAGACCAGAGATACGCCGCTGTGTGCCAGGCTGTCCCTGTGAGAGTAACGCGCCTACTAGTCTATCACAGGTGAGCCCGGGCGACCCCAGCCAGCTCCCCGTATTATCTATACCGCTTTTACAATGAAATGGCTGGATGAACACAAACTACCTGCGTGCGTACACGTACATTAGCAGGCCCATATACTTATGTTTCGACGCTTTGTACAATAGTGTTTCTATTAAGTTTATGATTATGAATATACTGTGAAGCTCTTCCAACTTGTGTATGGGGTATTCGCTAACTTTCGCATACCTCGAACACTGATGTATTTATTCAACAGTTCAAATTTCATAGTTTGCATATTTGACTCTGTAAAGCCAATCATTAAGTTACTAATTCGTAAGCTTAATTGAAAGGGCAAATTGTACCGTAATTGTAATTATAATATTGCAATATATGCAATAGTCACAATTACAATGTTATCAGCGAATTTAATTTCTGGGTTCATTATTCCATTATATATTCGCGATATGATGAAGTTAGCTGCATTCCTTTTACAGAGAGTTGTGACATACGGGAATACGGTAAAATCTTTAGCTATTTTTGTTCTGTTACGCCCAAGAAGTATAAATTCTTACGGCGTACATAAGTACACACAATATCTCTTTCCTATTCAAAATGATCGTATATTGGGTTAAATATGCTCCCTACTAACTTTTGCTTTAAATAAATGATTTGCAAAGAGATCATGCTCTACGATTCTTGCTACGATCGCTACGGCGTAGTTTGAGAGTTCGCATATTGAGTAAGAAGAGTAGCACTACGTGCTACGAGTTTAACTTAAACTACTGTTTTGTGTTTAACTTTTACTTACTTATAAATAAAGTTAAAGTGTCTGTGTGGGATATCAAGATGTTTGACTAAGCATTTTTTACTATATTTTTCCCAAAAAGTTTTTAATCACACTAAATAATAAACATACATATATAACGAATTAATCGAGTCTAGTATTCTATTCTAATCATATAAAACTGAAGTGTAAAACTGAAGTTTCGTTTGTTTGTCTGTTAATAATTTTTTAAATATATAATGCTTAAGTTTCTTCAGTGTTACCTAAATTTAAAGACTAGAATGTGTTCAACACTCGAATAATTTAATGTATTTACATACTTATCTAATTTGCTAGTTTTATTTATGATATTTACTCTATTTAGTCAATATTATAATATACAAATTTTAATAGGTAATATAATTGTAATATATAATTATTGGCAACTTAATTCACAATTTTTTATTTTTAAAACATTATATTATTAAATTAAATGCAAAATTATTACCAATATTCGAAATATCTTCTTAATTAGCTTTTACACAACTCTATTGTTTTATGTTCACCGCAAAGATGTCTGAGAAAAACGGGGACTGACCGCATAATGTGCTCTACGAAGCTCGGAGACCACATTCAGAGATAATCCTATTGAATATTATTGTCATTCGTTTAACATATGTATGTGATTACAATTTAAACCATATTCAGTAAATGGGTTAGCTTTGATTTACGTTAACTGGTCACTACCTCGAAAGGTTATATTAGAAAGGTTTTTTTAAACTTGAAGTAATAATTAGTGTTTTTTATAGATTTCATTTTATTTATTGAGTATAATATTTCAAACAACTATTTTATTTTAAAATGGGTAAATTATAATTAGGTCGATTTCTATGTGACTTTGAAATAGAAGTGAAGCAAATGAATCACAATGTTTTCATATCACTGCTGTGGCTATATGCAATAATGCAATGTACTCGTAGGTATATAAAATTGGAACTTTTTAATAATGATTAGTAGTAGGAAAATGGTTTAATATTACATATATCATTTCGTTGTCAAAACTTCTATATATAAAAGAAACTACGTTATTTATAATTATTATTAGGCATAGGCACTGGCAACCGACCTTAACCGGCTACTTTTATAGGGCTTTGTGCCTCAAAGCAAAAATCACATATCTCTGTGTGTCTGTTTGTAACAGCCCATTTTATTCGAATGTAAAAAAAACATCCAAACAGATAATATCTAAACGATAAATAGCTTAAAAATGAAATCTGATGTTAACAGGTGATTTTAGGATATAAATAAACTGAAAAGCAAAATATTATGGAACTTGAAAAATATATATTTTAAGCTCTTTTGGTACCTAGTTAATATTCTTTTTGACCATCCGATTTTTATATTTACATATAAATTATGTACTTGTAGGTTAATACCTAACCTAGGAAAAAGGAATGACAAATTAATAAAAATAAATATATATATTTATATGTCCACTGATATAAAACACGTGTTACAGATTTATGAATGTTTAAGAAGCTACTTTGAATATAGTAATGAGTTTTCACGGCAACCGCAGAGACAGTTATCAGCTAACTTCATTATGTCGCTTTTTGGCTGTCGGTGTGCGAGCGTCGTAAAAATTTTACTCTCATATTTTTTTTTCCAAACGTGCCAAAAGAATATATTAATAGTAATAGTATTTTGCGGTCTCTACAACCGGGTGATCATTTGCAAGCGAGAAGTGAATAGAGAAGATGTCATTTATTACGGGAATTGGTAATGGAATCCAAACTAACTATATTCAAAGTAATTTCTCAAATGTTCATAAATCTATAACACGTGTTTTATATCAGTGCACATAAAAAAATATTTATTTTTATTAGTTAATCATTCCTTTTACAAACAGAGAGTTGTGACTTACGGAATGAAATCTTTAGCTATTTTTGTTCTGTTACGCCAAAGAAGTATAACTTCTTACGTGCGAACATAAGTACATTTGCAGGCCGACGAGGTGAGGTTGATCGGAATCGAGATCAAGTCTCGGAACCGATGGATCTCATTCTGGATTCCACTGTCGCTTACCATCAGGTGTCATGGAGTCATCTTATCGAGCGACAATAAAAAAAAACACACACACACACACACACACACATGTTTTTTTAATTTCATTACTTATTATAGTTAGTTAGATATCTAACTATAAGGTTATTAGCGTTATAAATAGTTGTACCGCACCAACTAATCTTACATTACAGGCTCAATCGGAACCATTTCTAATCCCCATTATGTCTTTATTTGCGCGGGGTACTCAATTAAAGTTCGTCTTCACTTGTCCGCCAGTACATTATGCACTGTTTTATGTACAATAAAGTATTGATTATCCCTTTGAAGTTTGAACTGCCATCTTACTTTAAAGTTTAAAGATATTGATTTGACTTGTGTTATATCGACATCTACTAACATCCCAATTTTTTTATAAATCTAATACATATATCTAATTCTTGTATGTATATATATATATACATGGGCGTACCCAGCTTTCGGTCCGGTGGGGGGGGGGGCGCAAAGGAGAAATTGCTCAGCCCAACGCTGTTTAATATGTTCATCCATATAGATGTCTCAACTTACATTGGAGTCTTTTCTAAAATTATCAATTTTTTAGATTGTTGTGTCCATATAAACTTTCAATCATCATCGTTTTACAAACTACATATAATATGTATCATTAAACAAAGTTTCAGCCAAGTCAGTGGGCTTTTTGTTTGTTGAAATCTCTACTTTCTAATAATGAAAAAAAATTTACATTACTATGGTAAATTTTTTCAGAAAATGCAATTAATAAAGTTAATATTTAATAAGACATCTACAATATTTTGAGAAAGTTGTAGAATCTTCTTTAAATTATATGCGTAGATGCCTATTTATTGCTATTTTAAGGTAACTTATATACCTGAGTGACCTACGGAAAATTTTAGCCCATCAAAAGATATTTCATAGAGAAGTGGGGAAGGGGCTAGGAGGGTCTGGCCTATACTTTTTGCAGTAAGGTAGTGCAAAAGGTAAATACAAAAGGTGTGGATCTACACAAAAAGAGTACACAAACGCTAGACTAGATTCGATAATCTTCGTAAGTCGTTGGCGCGGCAGCGAGTGGCTGGCGAGCGTGGAGCTCACCGGTCGCTTGCTGCTCTAGCGTTTTGTATGAATACAAGCTGATCGGGCGCGCAGCGCAATTTTTTTATAAGTTAACACATAATATATTGTAAAGTAATTCGTAACACTCGTAACCAGATTCAAACATAACTTTATCGACAACAGTAGGTACGTAGACATACACGATCCAGGGGGGGCTGACCCCCCCCCCCCCCCCCTGCCCCTACCTGGGTGCCTGGATATATATATATATATATATATATATATATATATATATATATATATATATATATATATATATATATAATCAGAATCTCGGAAACGGTGTCCTGGTTCGAATCCCGGACGGATACAAAGGTATAATCTATTTTTGTTTTTTTTTTGAATTTCTTCAAGTTTTTTGTTTTTTTTTTTAATTTTATTTTATTGTATTAAAAATATTTATTATATTAAAAATTATAGTTCTGACAAAAAACTCCAATCGAAGCTCGGTGGCGCAGATATTTTTAGAAAATGTCGTTCTATTCGTGTTTTCAATAATCAACTTTATCGATAATCAACTAAAACGTAAAATTATTTTTTTTATTGAGAAAAAATAATAAAAAGGTGGTGTTTGAGTAGTCCTAATGTTGCCATTTAAACATAAACTGAAAAAAATGACTCTTTCTGTCATCTATTGGCGAATAATACTATTTTTTTAGTTGTAATCAGAATCTCGGAAGCGGCTCCAACGGTTTTCATGTAATTTAGTATATAGAGGATTTCGGGGGCGATAAACCGATCTAGATTAGTCTTATGTCTGAGAAAACGCGTGTTTTCGAGTTTTTATGCAGTTTTCTTTTTCTATTATACGCAAAATATGGTCGGTAATTTGCACGCTCGGGAATAAGCATCGTGGTAAGTGGTTAAGGTGCAAGATCCACAAGCACAGGTGTCCAGGTTCGAATCTCGGTCGCATACAAAGTTTTTACTTTTATTTATTTTTAATATTAATTCAAGTTTTTAGTTCTTTTTTAAAAAAAGACGCAAGATTGACAATCATAGGTGTCAGGGTTCGAATCCCGGTCAGATACAAAGGTATAATGTATTTTTGTTTTTTTTTTGTATTCATTCAAGTTTATAGTTTTTTTTTTAAGAAAATTGTACTCTTTAACCAAAAACTCCGAGCGAAGCTCGGTGGCTCAGGTACTTTAATTATATATGACTAATGTGAATGTTTAGAAAAAAGCTTGTCGTAATACTACCTTAAAATATATTTTTAAACTTTTATAAAATTCAAATAAAATTATTTTGACTGATCTTGGATATGCATAATATGTACCTATGTATTAAAGAGCTCTTAATACCTAATTAAAAACCAACCTAGAGACCGTGCAAAGTGCATACTAAGATATACAGACTTTAAATTATCTGTATAGATCAAATTAAAAAAATATATTGATTTACGAAATTTTAAGCGAATTCAGAATAAGTTCTAAGAATGATCAACGAATATCTAAAATGAAAAGTCAATTGAGCTCAATATTATTATTAGATTTTTGTTTTAAGCTAATTTATACCTCATTTGTTTATCTTCTATAAAAACTTTTAAATACTGAAACATATTAAAATTTTGAATAAAATCCGAACTGATTCGAATCTATACATTAAATATTTTTTGGAAAATCTCATTGAAATAGTCATTATTATCGATACGGAAGCCGAATCTATATTTTTTATAATTTGTCTGTCTGTCTATCTATCTGGGAACGCATCACGAGAAATCCACTGGAGAGATTTTGATGAAATTTGGTATGATGGTAGCTATTTATCCAGGTCAACATATACTACATGGGTACTTTTTACTGCGGTAAAATGTCTCATCTCTGAAAAATCTATACTAAACCTTAAATTCTATAAATCGAGATTACAAAAGATTTTATTATTTGTTGTAGTGGGACGCCATCTAGATTGAATGCAAAGAACTGTTACACTACTGTTAAAATAATTTAGTAGAGTATTTCTATAATATATAGTATATTTTATGCAAATATAGTTTATTAAATAAAACTATCTTTTCGGATTATTTCGCGGATTTATTTTGATTTTTGGTTCCCGACGTTTCGAATGCTTTACAGCATCCATGGTCACGGGAGAGACAGGTGTTACATGTCTTAAAGATATAGACTGTTGTTACAGACAGCCTACCCACAATTAACAAAATGAAAATTGCACCAATTACATTACAATATTTTTAACTTTAAACATTTTTATAATTTTAATTATAATTGAATATGGAAAATTATTTATTTAATTTTTGCTATTATTTTTATAATTATTACAATTTTAAAAATATTAATTAGTAATCTATATTTAGTGTTGCCATTATTATATTTATAACCATAAATAAAAATATAAAAATATAGTATTAATTATTAAAGCCATATAATTGTTCTATGTGTAATTTAAAAAAGTTAAAATTAATTACGGATAATCATTTTAATTTAGTTTGCTATAATTATTTATATGCTATAAAAATGTTTGAAGTTAAAAATATTGTAATGTAATTGGTGCAATTTTCATTTTTTTAATTGTGGGTAGGCTGTCTGTAACAAGTATATTTTTAAGACATGTAACACCTCAGTCTCTCCCGTGACCATGGATGCTGTAAAGCATTCGAAACGTCGGGAACCAAAAATCAAAATAAATCCGCGAAATAATCCGAAAAGATAGTTTTATTTAATAATGTCAAACATTCGCGTAAATCTAAGAAAGTATTATCAAATATAGTTTATCTAAAAAATATAATTGGAAACCAAAAATTATAATAAAGTCTTATTAAATTGAAAGTACCTATTTAAATAATATAATATATAAAGTGTAACGTAATAAAATGGCAATAGTTTGACCTCGATTTAGTCATGGTTTAGCCTAGTCTTCTAGTCTATTACTCAGTCTCAACTGTCAATGTCATTTGTCAGCTTTCAAGTTTCAACTTTCAAGTTTCATGCAGATTGCAGCGTCGGCAGCGGCACTCTGCAGTGTACCTACGCCTTTCCTATACCTACTCGCTTTTATTTCATCGGACTTCCGACTTAAAATTTAATTCGTAGATATCAGAGAATATCGGTGTTACTGGTTTTTGACGGTATGGATGAGTTCACGAAGCAATTATAAAATAATGTTGTGAGTCAAAACATATTAAAACAGCAGACGCGGACGTGTGCCGTACTCACGGAAAGCTTATATTGACGGTGCCTCAGTGATAATAAAATGCGTTTTGTTAACATTAAAAAGCAATATCTAGCAATCGGAATGTTGATTTTTGTAGTATTATTTATTTTTAACAGCCGACCAACGTTTCAATGTCAATTTTCGCCAGAAATCCAACAAACTTATCTTCCAACGATATACGGGATAACTCCGACATACGCAAGACTTGCTCAAAAGGCCGATCTCACAAGGTAAGATTCATTTTGTCGTGATCGTATTGCCCTTGGTTGTATTGTTGATTTATCTACACTCTTGTTTGGCTTCCAATTTGGCAATAGCAAATCTAAATCTCGTATCTGATTTTTAAAGTAATAAGTAAACACTAAACAGTATTGAAAAACGACAACGCATTTTTCAAATAAAACTGTTTTTTTTTTTAATTCTATTATAATTCTATAATATTTTATTTATATAAAATATCAATAGAATTACTTTATAATTATGTGCTCATGTTTTTGCAATTGATTAAATAGTTATAACATGTTCTTTTTTATTATTAAAAATAAATTCTTACAGATTATCACAAACATTAATGCTTGTGAAAAATTTCCATTGGATAGTAATAGAAGACTCAGAAACTAAGACTAAATTAGTTGAAAATTTACTCAAAGAGTCTACATTGAAATATACCCATCTCAATATAAAAACACACAAATCAAAGCATTCAACGGTAAGTATTAGTTTGATGTTGTTGTTTTTTTTAATAATTATTTTCTATTATAAATGCTTAGAAGATATCAATGAAAAGTAAGGCACAGTTATAATTTTGTTTCTTAAAATGTAATTTATATTTATTTAAATTACATTATCTGAAACATCTGTCATAAACCGGCCCATAAAACACACAAATGAAAACAACAATTTCAATTTTATATAATTTTGTTCCAAAACTTATTATGATAATAGTTCTAAAAATAATATATCATTGCATTTGGGTTGGTTTCTTTAAATTGCTTTTTTTAAATTAAATGTTAAAGTAATATTATTCTTATATTAAATTATTATACTTATTATAAAATTTCAGGTGTTGGATATCAATATTTGTGTCTTTAAAACAAAGTTATTTACTACTACTTGGTATTGTGTATGTTCAAAATATTTAAATTTTTGTGTGTTTAAATTAACAAATACACTTTGTGTCAAATGCATAACAATTATACAATTATGTTATTTCTATGTAGGTATTGAAGTTAATTGGAAAGAAACAGGATTTTTCTTTCATTTCTTGCTTCAAATTGGTAATAATTTACTATACCAATGTACACACAGCTAGTTTTATAAAACTAAAAATCCAGAACAAATATCAGATATTTCCATTTAGTAAATGAAAATAAACTATTTCTAATTTAATTTTTCAATAAACTATAATTGATTTCCGAGTTTTGCTTATAAGTAATTAGCTTTAACATTGAATAACAAATTTACTATAACTATTTTTGATTATATTGTTTTCCCTAATCATGTGGTTTAAGAATTTTTCTGTATAACCTTTTTTTAATGAGTTATTTTATTCAGTTGTTCCTAGTCTTCCATAGTCTGCTAAAATAATATGTTAAATTAAATTGGCTACAGTAAAAATATTATATTTTGAAATATAATTTTAAGTACTAATATGTTTTTTACTTTCATTATTATTCTTGTCACATTAGGTTATTCTTTTTATTGTTTTTTTATTAGCGACTTTATTTCTGCATTGTATTCAAATGGCTAAAAGCATCGAGATTTTGTAAAATGGAAAATGACCTATGTTATCAAGTTTCTCCAGGAACTTCAAACCCCTCTATAAGTTTTAGAAAATATTAGACCGAATATTTTTCAGTTTAATACAACTTCATGGTGAATTTCTAGTTTTATTTATTGGAAAAGTCCTCAAACTGCATACTTACTGTTTCTTTTGTTAACATTGGTTTTTGCATCTAATAAAATAGCAGTTAGTTACTGATAACATTTTTTATAATTTTATCTGAATTCTTATGATTTTTATTATAAACTCTTAACTTTAGCAATAAGAGTTGCATCTAGAATAAATTATATAAGAATAATGTTAAAACAAGCATTATATTATAACACATCTATTATTTTAAAAAACTAGCTTACAACTTCTACACTTGCAAGTTCAATTCTATACTTTATACTTTTAATAAATTAGTTTACTAATAAGTGCATTAAGTCAGATATTAAAGAAAATATTTTCCTACCATACTTCCAAAACTAGAATACACCTAATACTTTCTTACCTGTCTCGCTCATATTTTACATTATGTTTTCTTTAAAATTCTATGTATTGAAAATCTACTCTTTTTAATTCTCTATAAATTTCTTAATGTGTGAAGTGTGAACTCTCCTTCTTACGAATCCTAACAAGTCAATGAGAGTTCATTTGTGACCTTCTCCTGATGCTATTGTTTTTATTCATATCTTGTTATAAAGATGAAACATTACTTGTTTTTAATATTATTATTTTTTAATTTTTCAGATGCAATTTCGTATAACTATTTCGAAAATGTAGTACCAACATTAAATTTATATTTATAGATTAAACATAAATAATAAATATTTTTTCAGGCAAGTGGAGTTGAACAAAGAAATGCGGCTTTAGACTGGCTCCGAGAACACTTAAAGGAAAATGAGGATAAGACAGGCGTTGTTTATTTCATGGATGATGATAATACATATTCATTGAAAGTTTTTGATGAGGTATGCTTTTAAATTATATATTTTCTATTTCATATGTGATATTTGTTGAAATACTTAGTATATTATGACAAAATACGATGATACAATGACATTAAATAGGAAATACCATACAAAAGTTTGGATAGATAGATGAATAACTGTAATAGACAAAAATTTATGCAACATGCTAACGGAATTTACTTTAAAGCTAAACACAGTGTGATAGGAGCCTTATCGCTTATTAGCTTTTTTATAGCTATCATTGTTATTCTTTAGGGGTATGCAAAGAGAAGTAATGATATCACTCTTTGCCATATATGTATTTTAAAACTTTGAAGGTACCTATAGATATTATTATTTGGTATAATAGTTTTTTAATGATAGAGAGAGAGATAGAGTAATAATCGCTAGTTATGTTTTAATATGGTTTTTCATATAATCCTTTGATTTTATAGTTGCTTTTATAATAGGATTAAAATTTTCTGTATGACATTAAAATATTTATTACACTAAGAATTAGAACCTGTGATCTCTTAATGATTACATATCAAGTACTCCAAAATGTGATTGCTAATATAAAATATTATTGTCCAATTATATCTAAATAAATCTATCTAAACATTTGGATTACATTTTAAGTGTAGGAACTTTGCTACAAATAAATGTATAATATGCCAATAATAGTAGTGGCCTTCACAATTAATATACTATATAACAGATAAAGTTACATTATCAGTACTACAGTATTTTGTATGAGATTAATGAATTACTACTCTTTGCTAAAATAGCACTATAACATTTATATTAGGTAGGTACCTATTATAAAGTAAAATAATAAACTATAAAGAATATTATTTTAAAATCTAGATAATTACTAAAGAATTATATATAAAAAACTACTTTTCAGCTAAATATAAAGTAAGTAATTCATTTATATATAAAATTTTACACATATTACTAAAGTTGGAAACGGTCATTATGTTACGCTTTTTATAGACACGTGTTTATCGATATCGACCTAAAACAATGGGTATACAAAATATATATAATTTTAATGGCGTAACTAGCCTTTTTAGGCCCCAATGCAAAAAAAAAGAAGTGCCCCCCTTAAAACCAGCGTTAACCCCATGCCGCACTCTTATATACTTGAAATGACGGAGGCAGTTTTTGGACTTCTCACTTTTTTCAAACCGCTCTCACGGAAAAACGGCTAGAGCAAAATTTAGTAAAAAAGCCGAGCTAAAGGACTGTTCATCCCTAGATCGATTCACCATACAAACTTTCATCCCCATTTTAAACCCCTTAAGGGATGATTTCCGGGATAAAAGGTATCCTTTGTCCTTCCCAGGACCTCAAACTATCTTCTTACCAAATTTCATCTAAATCGGTTCAGTAGATCCAGAGACTATACCCTACAACGTCACAAACTCACAATTTACAAACTTACCTCTTTAAAATATTAGTGTAGATAAAATATCGTAAAAAATAATATGCGATAATTTAGGACACTCTTTTCTTGCGGTTTTTTAAACTTCTATGACTACGAGTATATACTTCGTCCCCGAAAAAATGTTTTGAATTAAAGGAATCGCTACGCTACGCCACTGCATATAATAATAAGTAAAGTACTTAAAATAATATAGTAGCCTAATATTCTAGTTCATATATTCTTAGTAGATACCTCTTGCTTTATAAAAAACTATCTACAAGAGAGAGTAAATTTAGGAAAAATATTTTCTATATGTAAATAATAGTAACTATCTGCAGCATTTTAATAACATTATATCAAATAATGCTTGTTTTAATAAACATGCTGGAGTCGTAATGACACCACCAGAATGTTTGTGTAAACAAAATGAATAATTTCACAAATATGTAGTACACAAATTGTATGTTTATTTTTTAATATTTTATTAAATACTATGGCAACAAAATATATCATCGAATGAATGATTCGTTTAAAAATGAATGTATTGACTATTGACTCAATATTCATGATTTGTAAATAATTTGCAAAAACGTTGTCCAGATATATTTTTGTATAATTTTTGTGTCTAAAGTGTGATATATCTAATAATACTTTCTTAGATTTACGCAAATATTTGACATTTTAAATAAAACAATCTTTTCGGATTTTTTGCCGGGTTTATTTTGATCTCTGACTCAGATGAGATCTGAGAGAGATAAAGATTAACAACAGTGACCTATATTATATATATGATATGTACATTACCGTTATAAAATTAAAATAGTAAATATGTACTTCATGATTCTAAAGAAAACTTATAGCAGACATATTGTTTCTATTGAAACATGATCATGACCTATTTGCATAGATTGGCATTGTAATAACAGAAACAAGCCATTTTTATTTTAAATATAAAATAATTTTGTGAGGGGTTTTCACTTTTTATGTTTTTTCAAATGTCACAGACAACTCGTTTTTATTTACATAAAAAACAAAATTATTACTAGTAATGTAAAATGACATAACTAATTTGTACATATGATATAATTATTGTAACTAAACCGAATCTGTACATAATTTTTTTTGGAAAATCTTACTGAAATAGACATAAGACATTAGCATCGATACAGAGACGAAATCTATAGTTTCCTTGAATTTTTGCCTGTCTGTCTGTCGTACTATATATAATAATATGTACATACATTTATAATTACACATGGGATATTTATATGCATATCAAATATATTTTCATGTATAATTATTTTTAGTTCGTTCAACTGTTTCATTTTCTAGTTCCTAATGATTAGCACTACGGCAGTCGGGTTATAGACGGTTTGGGTTCATATAGTTAGTTCATATAGGGAAATATAGTGGCTGTGTATTCTGTTTTTAAATGCTTAGTAGCTTCTCGTAGTTGAGAAGTTAATCCATCCTATGCCTTTTTACCGGTCGTGTGGAATTATCGTACCACAGGAGTTGAGAGTTCAAGAAACAGTAGTGTACACACTTGTGACTGCGCACAAAATTCTATTCATTACTGAAATCGATTAGAAATACATGATTATTATACATATTTATAACATATTAAGTGTAACTTTTTTTTATTCCGAAGTATCTAATCTTTGACTTTTTATCGTTACTCTTACTTACTTTTTCACTTTAATTCTAGGCTTAACTTTAAATACAGAGATTACAATAAAATAACAACAAATAAATATTTTACAGATGAGGAAGATCCAGAAAGTCGGTGTATGGCCCGTGGGCATAGTTGGTGGGATGCGAGTGGAGATGCCTCTAGTGACCAATGGCAAGGTGTCAGGCTACAATGCAGTTTGGAAGCCCTTTAGACCCTTCCCCATAGATATGGCTGGTTTCGCGATAAATGCAACATTGTTCTTGGAGCATCAAGATGCGAAATTCTCTAGAAGAGTCCAATCGGGATTTCAGGTAATTTCATAGCAATGATTATTTTGTTGCGTAACTGCCTCGGTGGTCTAGTGGCTAGCATGTACGGGCGCAGATCCGGGGTCCCCGGTTCGAGTCCCGAGTCGGGCCAAGTTCAGTTATAGAGTGTTTCTGTCAAGAAATTCTCAGTGGCCGCCGTGCCCGAAATCGGTCAGGAAGACATTTTGCTTGTAGCGAAAATTTTATTTTATGTTATCCATATTATTAATATTATAAGTCTGAAGCCTTTTTATTGGTGAGTTTCGCTACATAATTAGTTTTTGAGCTGCAGAGCCGTGAAGATATTTTTTTATCGCAATAAAACTCATTGAATAGCTAATCTATTGTAAAAGTTGATTAAAATTTTAATTGGACATTATTTAAAACTTAAAAAGCAATTGAATTTTACTGCCTTCAATATACATATAAATTTATCTTGATAAGTGCAAAAGTTTGTCAGTGTGTGTGTGTTGGTTTTTTCTTTACGCTGTAACGGTTCCAAGGATTTAAATTGGGAAATTCGAAGTGCTTATATTCATAGCACAAAAACTTAGATTAGTACACAGACTGCTTTTTATCCACGTAGGTACTTACACGATCGATGCTGCGGGCAAAAACAAGTTTTAATGTAAATAATCATAATACCGCCGTTTGTTAGTTATACACACACCAATAATATAAAGTCCATTTTGAATGCTTTCAAAGTGAATAATTGAGGTTAATAAATAAAAGTCGGCTATTCTTTTACCGTATAAAATTGATAAGCAAGCACAAATTCGTTAGTCCGCCCCATACTTTTTATTGGTATGTTCTACTGACCATGACCTTAATTGGAATATTAAAATATTGTCGTAGTGAATCATTCGGTAGGATTTGCAAAATTATAAAAAAAATAATTTAAAAAAATAAATAAGTTAGTCTATCTATTAACCAATTCTAATTTTGAAACATCGGAGTGGGTACTAATTATTATAAATGTTTTATTTTATACTAGCGGCTTACCCTCGCTTCGCTCGGATGGGTCCCTAGTACACGGATTTTGTTCCCAATTTTATGGGTTTTAATTTTTTTACGCGGAACCCTGATTCTTTTTCTAAAATGAAAGTAGCCGAAGTTACTCCTTATAACATCAGCTATCTGTCAGTGAAAGTCCCGTCAAAATCAGTCCATTCGTTTCGGACATTAGGCCGGAATAAACAGACAAACATTTTATAAAATTGTTTCTTTCATATTAGTAACGTACATATGTATATACTTTCATATGCAATTAGTAAAAAGCTGTTATTTTGACATTACAAACGGACACTTCAATTTTATTTATCTTTATAGATTGTAAATGTTTGTATGTATGTGTGGGCGCATTTTACTCCTTCACGCCGAAAGAGCTAGACGAATTTGGATGAAATTAAGTATTCAAATAGACTATGTATAACCTGTATAACACAGGCGCGTCCCTAGTTAATTCGCAATAAATAATAAAATTTAAAGAATATATATTCTTAAATTGTTGGGATTGGCTGTTTAATTTGGACATAACACATTTGTAAATTAAAAAAAATATTAATACATAATTAAAAATTATAATAAAGTTCCTTATATTGTGTTATTGACAAATATTGAAATAAGTACGGTTAACGCGATAACTTTTATCACGCTTTCTCTTACATTGTGCTACAGATATCGTTCATTTCCTCTCCGTTGTTGTGTTAATGTTTTAAAAATAACGACCCAATTGCCCAGTGAGCTATAAAGAGTACTTATTTTGTTAAATATTTAGTTTTATGTAATATGTTTTATATTTTAATTGGTTTATTTTAAAAGTTTAAGTTTGTGTGTGTATATATTTGTGTTTGTTACGTGAAGGATCGCGGTAAAACGGATGGACGGATTCGGGTGTTTAGTACATAGAGCACCTGAAGAGCCTATTAGATACCTACAGACGCATTCTCTATACACCCATTACATAGGCTACTTACTATTGGCGAAGTTATAACCAAATGGCGCTAGTAACAAATATTAGAAAATATCCCTTTTATACTTTAATTTTTTTCTATTTTTCTGAACAAATTAATCTTATATATTATAGTATTTTAATATACTGATAAAAGTATATTTTTGATATACCATTGTTAAAATTTAAACAACAAACTTAAATAATCTATCCTGAGTTTTAACCATGATAATAATAAATATAGACATGAGTAATATGAACGCTATATTTTTCCTCGCTCATTCGTAAATATTGAATTGAAAAATTAAAACCGTTATATTCTATTTTTAACAAAAAAAAAGTTTTTTTTTTTGGTTACTTTCCCGGAAATCAATTGTTAACTGGCATCTGCGACCGTTCAAGCGTTACATTAATATTTAAATAAACTAATATTATAAAGAGGACAGGTAATTTCTTTGTTTTTACCCACTAAACTAAAACTACTGAACCGATTTTAATAATTGTTTTACTAATAAGTATATATATAAATATATAGATAGCTATATTCCAAAGGTTTATATACTTACTAGCATTGCCCGCGGCTATGCCCGCGTTCAAATGACCAAAACCCGATTTTTAGGTTTTACATATTAGTATACTCTTACATTGCAGTTGTTGTATTTTTTCTCAAAAATGAGGTATTATCCCACGGTAAAAAGTATCCTATATGTTGACCCGGATAACCAGCTATCACATCAGCGAGGGGCGGGGGTATTGTTTGTACCTAATATTTACTTGTAAGGGCAAGAAAGAATAATATATTTATTTCGAAGTGACAAACAGACACTAGTTAGAAACTAGTAAGTATATCTTACATTTTATTTATTTTGTTACAGGAAAGCGAAATATTAAAGTACGTCACAACAAAAGATGAGCTGGAACCGTTAGCTGAAAACTGCACAAAGGTATATGTATGGCACACGCGCACTCAAAAACCATCCATAATCAATCCTAAGAAACTAAAACAACCGCCAATACCTGACGATCATATTGAAGTCTGAATTCATTAAAAATATTTATTTGGGTACTAAATTTGTGGTTTTGATGCAGAATTGTATGTCAAAATGGGTTTAAAAGGTTTGATAACTATGAAAAAGAATAAAAACACTGATTAAAAAGAACATTTTAATATTTTGAAATGATCTATAATTGTTCTAAAAATTGGAGAAATTGGTTGGTAGTGATGTTAACACTATCTTTAACTATAAGCGTCGAACGCTTCCTAATAAAGAATTATCAGTTGATATTAAGTATATTAAATGATGTATACTATATAACTTTATTGTAAAAAGCTGGCAATAATTGATCTAAATAAAAAAAATGTTATGATTCCATTTTTTATATACTTTTATTTAGAAATTTTATTGCCATATGAATAAAAATGCTCTTTCAAAATTAATGTATCACCAATTTAAAATAGATTAAAAGTGATGGCTTTATTACTTTTTTCTTGTTTTAAAAGATTATTTTGACCAATACTCTTTAAATAATGTATACTCAAAAAGAAATTTTACAGAACAAAATCGTTACTTAAGATCTAATATCAAGTAGACTTAGACTTAGTGATACTATATAGTATTAACTTAGAATAGTATGAATAATCTTAATAATTTAATACTAATCATTTTCCGTGACTTTTCTCGAATTTTAAATGTTTCAAAAATAATTTAGAAATCATACATATAAATAAAATATATGTAAGTTTTATTGGACTGATATATTTTTAATATTCTGGTTCAAAATTGATCTATTGACGTAAAATTTAGTCAAGTTTGATTATTTTCCACTTCGTGAGCAAAAATACTGACATTTTGTTTTAAATAATTGAAGTCACGGAAAATGGCAAATAGTCTTTCTTTTTAGTCCTTATTCCATAACTTATACCCTTTACAAAATATATTTTAATATTAAGTCTTAATTAGATCTAATTAGATATTTTAATATATTATTTATTATTTTTTAATTTCTATTACCAGTGTATTATAAATAGGGTCTTTTTATATGGCAATTACTTTTATCACAAATAGTTGCATAATACTTCGTCTCAATATCTTTTTTACAGTATTATTATAATTTTAAAAGATTTTCGAACAAAATACGCTCATAATTTCATCTAAAAAAGAACACTTAATTTTGTGATAACATAATGGTTATGTTACTTCGTGTTTTATTTTCGAATATTGTAGATTATATCTTAATGGACCCAATATATGGAAAAAAATGAAATATATTTATATAAAGTATGACATTTGAATTATATTTCTATTGTCTGTAATATTACTTGTTTATTTTCCACACTGTTTAAAAAACCAACATTTGTTTTTATAATAATAATATTTTTATTGACGAAAAAAACATAGACATTACCCAATATTAAATACAAATCAAACATATGATACAGAACAATCATTAATATTTAGCAAATACTTATTTTAAGTTTGTTGCGAACACAAAAGATATGATAGTCTCTGTTACCGTACTAGGAGACTTTGTATTTTCAATAAAAAGTATTATTTTTTGGTACTAGAGATTTTTTTCAGCATGTTTATATTTTTAATACGATTATGGTATATTGAATTGATATATATATTTTTTATAGAGGCCTACTTTTTGTAATTTCAAAGTACTTTGTTGACATGTTTTTTTCCATATCGTTTCTGCATCGTCTAAAAGTGTTTGTATCATTATGAAAAAAAATTATTATTGTAATAATACCTTTCTATTGTTTGGTTTAATAGATGGTTTATAATATATTAATATATTCAGTAAATTACACAGTATTGTGTAAAAAATTCTAATTTTTTTTTAATATTTTTTTAGCATGTTGAGACGATAGTGACAGTTAATTTATCATTCTAATTATTACTGCGTAGATTTATATAATGATTATTAGACTTATTATAATGATTCTATCATTTGTCTGTTTTGATCTTTTTATGCTTAAAACAAACAAGTGAGAGTCATATTTTTTTTTAAAATAAGACTTGACTACTTACTTGTTCTGAAATCCTACTCGCTGTGAAATTTCATTTCGATATATTTAAATTTAGTGAGGCCTAATATAATGTATAATATAGTTCTTGAAATTAATATGGATAACTTTTTTACTTAACAGTCGACAAACATTCCGTTAATTAATTAATAATATTTATTGAAATTGTCAATATCTAACTTCAAATTTTTTTTTAACTTATGGTAATCTATAATTTAAAAAGAAAACTACTTTTTCATTATAGTTGACTGATATAAAAAAAGTAGGTAACACAGATTATTCATTGTAAACGAACAAAAAATTGTCAGAAAATATTCTCATGTAAAATCGTGCAATAATATCAACTCAATCTGAATGATGAAATAAATTATTTTAAACTTATAAGAAGGCTCTTACTTTTTAAATACTTTCTTATAAGTACTTCGTAGCTTTAATTTATGCATAATAATTATTTTAAATTTTACTAAAAGCTCAAATCTATGTCGGTCTAAATGTTTTGTAAAGCTAGAATTTGTACTTATATTTAAACAAACGTGCTTAGAAAAATATTATTTTCGGGAACAGTTTGCATATTAAAAGGAAAATGACACTAAATCACAGTTAAGAAATATCAAGCGTAAACGACAATAAAAAAAATGGATGCGTGTAACCTTTACGCGCGGTTGAAGTTAAACTCCTTTGGCAAATATCGCAATTAAAAGAAATCAATAAAAATAAAAAATAATAAAACTAAGACATGTAAGGCATGTTATAATCGTATAGTTAAAGAATATCATATACGGAAAGAATATAATATTATATATTTGTCAGACAATAACAACGGTTACCATGGCAACAATTAGTCCTAATAGCTTTTGTTTCATTTATGCACATTCATCCCACAGTAATAAATATTCATTTTTATAAGTAATAAGTTAAGTTTTTTTTAACAAGTTTAAAAGTTATTTTACATTTTATTTAACATATATTACATAACAAATTATTCGCCAGCTTAATCCTACATATTTATGTTTGTCTCTGTCGTGATGCATTTCCGTTAAATCGAGTTTCAAATCACAACGATTCTAAAGAAGTTTGACTTCAAAAAATATTTTGACATGTGTCGTTATTATTTTAAAATGGTCAGCTGTTCCTATGTTTATTATTAATAATAGTGATAGTGTGTAAATGAAAATGGTTTTATAGAAAATCTTTATATAATAATTAATAACTCAAATATCTGTTTAGTCTTGGAATGTTTGGTAAAAAGTAAATGACAGTGCTACATTGAATGACCTTCTTACATAGTAATAAAACTGACACAATTTTTATTCTTATTTTCGTAGACCCACAAAAGTATAGTCATAAAGTATTGGTGTGCTGAAATATTTAAAATTTTATATGAAAATATTAAATAATAAATTAAGAAAAGCAAAATAAGTGTACATAGAAGGAATCTTAATTTTTGTTGCACTGTCACAAGTCACAATGAAATAGTGTAACGCGGGGTTTTTACAAACAACGGTGATCGCGGAGTATCGTGTCGGAACATGTACGATCCTGTAGGGCCGTGTTTCGTGCGATCGTATAGTTTAGGCGCCCGCGCCCCCCCGTCTCCCGCGAACGCGTGAGCGACGGCGTGGCTCGACCAGGCAGAGAGCCGCGAGCGCCGAACGCGTAAACATCTGTATCATAACGATCCTCCACGACTCTCATTTTCACGCAGTTGTAAGATTTTATGTAATTTTTTGTGTAATTTCCAATAACCATAAGTTTTCTTGTCAAACCTCAAGTGAAATAAATATATTTTAATAGACTGTTGTGTACCTATTAAACTGGCGCCCAACGTGGGGCTCGAACTTTTAAACTTATATACTAGTGCGTGAAGATGCCTATGACGAGGAGAGGGGAAACGCTTCGGCAGCAGCGAGGGGATGATGCCGCAGAGGGAGAGGAGAGCACCATCGAGCACGGCCACGTGGACGGAGCTGCGCGAGCCGGCTCGACACAGCAACCAGCACCCCAGCTCCCCGAACACTTCCTATCCACGCTGATGGAAACGATCACGCGTGCGCAAGTGGAAGCAAATAGAAGCCTTATCAATTCTCTGATGACGTCCAGCAGTGAATTTAGGGCCTCCACCCCAGTCGTGGCCTCTCAAACAAATAATGTGAACAGCGGGAGTGGTACTGCTGCCAGCGTCGCGAGTGTCGACGCCAATTTTACTAAGTGCACGGCGCGGTTCAACGGGTCGTCCCAGGACGCAGAGGTATTAGAAGCGTTCCTGGATGCCGTCGAGATATTTAAGGAGTGTGCGGCCGTGAGTGACGAGCTCGCACTCCGCGGATTGCCGATGTTGCTGGAGGGTGAAGCGGCAGTATGGTGGCGCGGCGTTAAGGCGTCGGTGACTACATGGGCGGACGCGGTCGCCCGCCTACGCGCGGCGTATGGCGTGGCGCAGCCCGCGCATCAGATTCTACGGCAGATCTTCGCGACGGAGCAGCAAGAAAAAGAACGCGCCGAGTCGTTTTTGTGTAAAGTGCGAGCGTTAATTGCAAAGTTACCGTATAAGCTCGATGAAATAGTACAAGTTGATATTTGTTACGGGTTATTACACCGACGTATTGTTAAAAGAGTTTCCCGCGATAATGTTCGTAATTTAGATGACTTAGTGTATAAAACGAGGATCGCGGAGGATATGTATAAAACTCTTAAGGTAAATAAGGATAACAATAATAGTAATAATTGTAAAAACGCGATTTCACGAACATCAGTCACTACTACCGGTCGCGATCTCACTCGATCGAGTTTTGATAGTACGAACGCGATCACTCCGCGTAGTAATAAAAACAATAGGCCCCGATGTAGTTATTGTAAATTATTTGGGCATATTAGTGAAGAATGTCGCAATCGTGAGAAGGTTATTAACAATAATAATAATGATAAACGTTTGTATAGCGATAGCACGCGTAAGGGTATACGTTGTTATGGTTGTGGCAAGGAAGGTGTCGTGAGGTCGAAATGTGA